AGCCAGGAGTGTGCTCTGTGCTCGGCCTTCATCAACTCCTGACACCAACGGGTGAGACCACACCACAATATGGACCAGCAGAGCTCACCATGAAGACCAGCAGCGTCACCAGGGAAAAAAGAAACAGACACCCCTTTATCAGGCCCATCTGTAGGGCAGTACCACTGGTTCCTCTAGACCAGTGGTCTCAGAAGTGGGGTGCACGCACCCCAGGGTGGGTTCAAGATAATCCATTGAGGTGCAGGAAGAAAATATTTTTGGTTCCATTAATAAATAAAGTCAAATAAAATAATATTTTAAAACTAATGGTTATTTAATTTTTATCTTGTCCTTTTAAAATTTCTATTATTGTGCCTGTTTTACAGGCACAATATTTATGAATATCCATATTGGGGGTGCACGCCCTAAAGCTTTTCACTGATGAGAGTGTGCGATCAAAAAGATTTGGAGAGCACTGCTCCACACCACCACATCTGAACAAAAAAGAGTCTGGGGGAGTGAAGCAAAGAAAGATTTAGGGATGAAATTGAGATTGCTTATGCAGATGGGACCTCTCCAGGCCCTGGGACCAGGCAGGACACACCCCAGGGTGCCAAGGAGCTCATTTGGGGCTCTCCATCGCCCTGGAACCTCTTGCTTTGACCCCATGGAAAGCACCAGTGAGGCTGAAGCTGGCAGGGAATTTTCACCTCCTTCTCTCTGCCCTCTTGCAGAGGACCTCTGGCTCAGACCTCTGGGATCTCTCTGACTCAGACCTTGGTAGGAACAGGCCATTCAGTTGCAGACAGGGAGAAACCCAGCAATGACGTTACCTCTGCACTGGCCATCGCACAGACATGATGAGGGAGCGTTTGCTCTGCTGCCCCTGAGGAGCTTGTCTTTCTCACAGGTGTGCTGGAGATGAAGGTCATTTTCTTGCTCCTGGAGTTGATATTTTTGTTGATGCATCAGGCCTGGGTAAAAATCCCTCTGAAAGAATGTTTTGATGGAGTGAAGGCAATGCCAGTGGAAGGAGTTTTCCCATGGTGGAGGATGGGGAAGATGCCTTGCTTGGACATGGTCTCCACAAGGGAGCAGAGGTCCGACAAAACCCACCTGCCTGTTTTTGCAAGAACCCCAGTTCCTGCTGGATGTCAAAGTCCCTCAGGCCTCCTGGCATTTGACAGCACGACGTTTGGGTGCCTCACCTCTTTAGTGGGGGAGCTGGAGGGCTAGTGAGGGTCCCAGAGTACCGGGGCTTGGCCAAGCAAATCTTGCATAGCGTTATCTCTTTACAGCAGACCGCTGCTCTGCCTGGCACAAGAGATGCTTGTCCACCCACCAGCAGCCTGGGCAGAGGAGGGAGTGGGGGGTTCCTGCTCTACTCCTGAATCTCTCATTGCTTTCCATATTAACCAGTGCTGAGCCATTCTCTCTAGCTGTCTGGGAAGTGGTGTACCATCACCATAGCTTCTCACTCCAGCTGGATCAAAGATCTCAAGAATAATGGGAAGATGTCCACGAGCACCATATTTCACTATAATGGTGACATAATCATCAAAGCTTTAATTCCTGGGTGTGGGTCAGTCCAAATCTTCTCATTCACTATAGCACTCACCAGGGCTCCTCTCCTTGCTCTTGACCTTGGTTAGCTCTTGAGTTCTTCATAAAACATAGAAAGAACCACAGTGGTTGCCAGGGGGTCATTGCTTCCTGTCCTGGTAAAACACGGGTGCCAACTGTGTGCCTGGAGCAGAGCTGTCAGGAACTGGTCCCTCACCTCCATCCCAGGATGGTGATCAACCAGTTGTAGAAAAACACAGTGGACATGGACACCTGCCACGTGGCTGGAGACTGCAGGAGGTGAGACCAGAGGGGCTGCGCTGCCAGAGATCTGCACCCAGGCAGGAGATGTCCAACTACTGCTCCTGCTGCTGATTTGGGCTTGAGGTACAGCCTAGTTTGGCAAAAATGGAGCAAGGGACTGTGCCAGGAACCCCTCCAGACCGTGGGGGAGGTTTGCTCCTTCGGGTCACAGATGGAGTGAGAGAGTTAATTCAGCCCTGGGTGTTTGTAAAGCACCTTTGAGTGGGCAGTGTCATGGACTGGAGAAGCATCACTGAACCACAGAAATTAGAAACATCTTTGTATTTAATCTGTCTTTACCACTGCAGGATTGTCTTCAGTCCCCATCCTGGGAATATGTCTGAGAAGAGCAGCCAAAATCAACTGAACTTCTTCTCAGTGGAGATGACTGATGTGGCTTCACATGCTTCAAAGATCTGATGTGAATATTCGTTTTGTCTTTTGTCTAGCACTGGCTAGAGGATCCCCCCTCCATCACCTCTGATTCAGACCAATTAATTGGGTGATGACCCTGTTCCTCCTAGAAAGTTGTCCAGTCTTGGTTAGAAAATGATGAGAGATGGAAATCTTAGCATTACCTTGACAGCTTCCTCCCAGCCACCCCTGACATTGCTAATTATGCCTTGTCTCTAATTGGAATTGCCTGTGCTCAAGCCTCAGGTGCAGCCTCACACGTTCCCCAGAAGATGCTTGAGCTGGAGCAACCAAACAACCTCTCAAGCTGGTTTTTGAGGAGGTCTACTGGGAAAGCTGAGGGCTGCCATCAGCTGGAGTCCCATGGTCTTAATTTGCTCTCCAGACCTGCAGGATGAAAGCAGAGGATGATGGTTCCTAAAAAAAACCTGATCAATCTGGTCAATGCACAAACTCCCGTAAGTATGAGGGGAACATGAGGGAGGAGATGGGACCTGACCTAGCAGCAAGGCTTAAACCCCTCCCAGAACCACGGCACAAACATCCCTGTGAGCTGCTCCTCACTGTGTAGGTGGCAGTTTCATGTGCTACCACAAAGCCAGGGATTTCCATGCCACTCTCCCTGGGCTCCCCACACCAGCTAACAGGGCTGCCCTGTGAACATCTCCACCCAGACACAGGGACGCCTGTCCCAGAGCCCAGCCCAGTCCCATGCACCCTCCCAGCTCTCTTACTCTCTCTGGGGAGCATGCTGGAGTCATGATTTGGGGGTGATGCCATCTGGGGCAGAAAGGTCCCTTTGCTGTGAGGCACAGCGTAGCCGCGTCACAAGGTGTCCCAGAAGAGGCAGCGTGGTGGCTGTGAGCGTGCATGGGTCTACTGCATGCCTGGTCATCAGTGAGGAGTGGTGCTGGGTCAATTCAGGGAGAGGTTGTCCAGGAGCATCCTCAGACAGAGTCCCAATCTTCAGCATGTAAGACTCAGTGCTGGGGGACCCCAAATTCTCTCTTGGTGCAATTGAGTCCCAGCAGGTCTCCCATGGAGGGGTAAGATCCTAAAGTTTGCAGATTTGGACTGTTAA